GTAGTAGTTGTTGTTGTTGTTGTAGTAGTAGTGCATTTAATTATAATTATTTACCTTAATCAAAATCTAGAAATGAAACAGAGTGTGTGTCCTAATTGGTGAACGTATGCAATAGTGTAACATTGTGGGGACCAGAGGCATGTTAGAGAAGCTGGGAAACACACTTAGTCCTGAATACACACACAGTACGGTCTGACATAGTGGGGACCGGAACCCTTGAGTACTGCTGTCTAACTAATATTTTTTTTTTTATTTTCAGCTTATATTGAAGGATGACCATATGACAGAGGAAGAGAACTGCTCTGCTCCAGTACGTGACCCACAACTCTGATGAGGTGTGTTTAATGTTGTTGTTATTATTATTATTAGTAGTAGTAGTAGTAGTAGTTGTTGTAGTAGTAGTAGTGCATTTAATTGTAATTATTTATCTTAATCAAAATCTAGAAATGAAACAGTGTGTGTCCTAATTGGTGAACCCATGCACTAGTGTAACATTGTGGGGACCAGAGGCATGTTAGAGAAGCTGGGAAACACACACAGTACGGTCTGACATAGTGGGGACCGGAACCCTTGAGTACTGCTGTCTAACTAATATATATTTTTATATTCAGGTTTGCTGAAGTATGACCGTATGACAGAAGGAAAGAACAGCTCTGCTCCAGTACGAGACCCACAACTCTGATGAGGTGTGTTTATTAATATTGTTGTTGTTGTTGTTGTTGTTATTATTATTATTACTAGTTGTTGTAGTAGTAGTAGTGGTTGTTGTTGTAGTAGTAGTGCATTTAATTGTAATTATTTAACTTAATCAAAATATAGAAATGAAACAGAGTGTGTGTCCTAATTGGTGAACATATGCACTGACATTGTGGGGACCAGAGGCATGTTAGAGAAGCTGTAAAACACACTTAGTCCTGAATACACACACAGTACGGTCTGACATAGTGGGGACCGCGACCCTTGAGTACTGCTGTCTAACTAATATATATTTTTTTATTTTCAGCTTATATTGAAGGATGACCATATGACAGGGGAAGAGAACTGCTCTGCTCCAGTACGAGACTCACAACTCTCTGATGAGGTGTGTTTAATGTTGTTGTTATTATTTTTAGTATTAGTAGTAGTAGTAGTAGTTGTAGTAGTTGTTCTTGTAGTAGTAGTAGTGCATTTAATTTTAATTATTTAACTTAATGAAAATCTAGAAATGAAACAGTGTGTGTCCTAATTGGTGAACCCATGCACTAGTGTAACATTGTGGGGACCAGAGGCATGTTAGAGAAGCTGGGAAACACACACAGTACGGTCTGACATAGTGGGGACCGGAACCCTTGAGTACTGCTGTCTAACTAATATATATTTTTATATTCAGGTTTGCTGAAGTATGACCGTATGACAGAAGGAAAGAACAGCTCTGCTCCAGTACGAGACCCACAACTCTGATGAGGTGTGTTTATTAATATTGTTGTTGTTGTTGTTGTTGTTATTATTATTATTACTAGTTGTTGTAGTAGTAGTAGTGGTTGTTGTTGTAGTAGTAGTGCATTTAATTGTAATTATTTAACTTAATCAAAATATAGAAATGAAACAGAGTGTGTGTCCTAATTGGTGAACATATGCACTGACATTGTGGGGACCAGAGGCATGTTAGAGAAGCTGTAAAACACACTTAGTCCTGAATACACACACAGTACGGTCTGACATAGTGGGGACCGCGACCCTTGAGTACTGCTGTCTAACTAATATATTTTTTTTTATTTTTTTTATTCAGCTTTGATTGAAGGATGACCATATGACAGAGGAAGAGAACTGCTCTGCTCCAGTACGTGACCCACAACTCTCTGATGAGGTGTGTTTAATGTTGTTGTTATTATTTTTATTAGTAGTAGTAGTAGTAGTTGTAGTAGTTGTTCTTGTAGTAGTAGTAGTGCATTTAATTGTAATTATTTAACTTAATCAAAATATATAAATGAAACAGAGTGTGTGTCCTAATGTATGAATGTATGCACTAGTGTAACATTGTGGGGACCAGAGGCATGTTAGAGAAGCTGGGAAACACTCTTAGTCCTGAATACACACAGTAAGGTCTGACATAGTGGGGACCGGGACCCTTGAGTACTGCTGTCTAACTAATATATATATATATATTTTTTTTTTTATTCAGCTTTTATTGAAGGATGGAAGGATGACCATATGACAGAGGAAGAGAACTGCTCTGCTCCAGTAGGAGACCCACAACTCTGATGAGGTGTGTTTAAATTTAATAATAATAATAATTATTATTATTATTATTAATATTATTAGTTGTAGTAGTAATAGTAGTTGTTGTTGTAGTAGTGGTGTATTTAATTGTAATTATTTAACTTAATCAAAATATAGAAATGAAACAGAGTGTGTGTCCTAATTGGTGAACATATGCACTGACATTGTGGGGACCAGAGGCATGTTAGAGAAGCTGTAAAACACACTTAGTCCTGAATACACACACAGTAAGGTCTGACATAGTGGGGACCGCGACCCTTGAGTACTGCTGTCTAACTAATATATATTTTTTTATTTTCAGCTTATATTGAAGGATGACCATATGACAGGGGAAGAGAACTGCTCTGCTCCAGTACGTGACTCACAACTCTGTTATTGCATATCAGATTTAACGAACCGTTTACTACGGATTTCATGTAATTTTGATAACTGTCCATTAATCAGATGTCATCACGCTGCTGTGCCGTCAGCCAATCGTTGTATTGCTGGTAATGATTTTGAGGATCGATAGATCTGTCACAACACACAGTCACAACACCTCTCAGATCAGTTTAATCTGATTCGCAAACTTTTTTGAAGAACCAAATTAGCCTAAGATGAGTTATCAAGATTAAAAGATCCAGGATCTGTAATATAATCTTAGATTATTTAAGCGAGGTCCGAAGAACAGACCCCTGGACCCTTGAGTACTACTGTCTAAATTATA